AAAATAGTATTTCCCATAAAAAAATTATATTGATCAATACACTTTTCAATAAGTTATAGCATTATAATGTTAAAAATGTAAAAAATAAAATTGAGAATTTTCACACAATAATAAACTTTGATGTCTGTTTTCACCATGAAGATAAAATAAAGTCCGAAATTTTTTTTTTCTATGATAAATATATTACATTAGCTTTAATTTAAGATATATATAAAAGTGTCAGACCTTCCGGAACATTTTCAAAAATCAAGTTGAAAAAGTTCTACTTTCTATATGCATTTTTATGTTTTGAATCCCCCCTGTATTTAGGGAAATGGTCCGATTTAAAAAAACAGTATGTCGAATGAAAGATCTATATAAATACTACTTCTCATAAAAAAATTGTAATGATTCATACATTTTTCAAAAAGTTATAGCATAATAAAGTTAAAAATGGAAAATACAAAATCGAAAATTTTCACACAAAAATAGCATTCGGTAGCCATTTTCACCATGAAGATAAGATAAAGTCCGAAATTTTTTTTTTTCATGATAAAGCATATTACATTAGCTTTAATTTAAGATATATATAAAAGTGTCAGACCTTCCGGAACATTTTCAAAATTTAAGTTAAAAAAATTAATTTTTTGTGAAAAAGTTGTCATTTTAAATCCCCCCTTGTGGGCAGGTTAAGGGTTAAATTTATGAAAAAAATATACCAAATGAAAGGTAATGATATTATGCATCTATATAAAAAAGAATTATATTGATATGTTTATTTTTGAAAAAGTTATGGCACTTTTAAGTAAAAAAAATTGAAAAAATTTCGAAAATTAGCGATTTTTAAATTCGTAACTTTTTGGAGGTTTCCCCCTTTTACGGGGAACGAGGGAATTTTTTTCAATTTTTGAGGGTAATGTCTTCGACTAGATACAATTTGTGATCTTTTGACGTATCATTGAAAGAAATCGGTTCGGTGAGAGCTGAGAAAAAGTGGTAACAGACACAAAAAAAAAAAAAAAACACATCTTAGTAAAACCAATACCTTCTCAGCTTCGCATCGAAGCTAAAAAGCACCGGACTACTAAATTATGTATTTTGATCATAAGTTTGACAAAAAATATGTGGAACCCAAATAGCGATTAAACAATAAAAAATTTAGTTTTTAAATTTTTATACGAAAGTTCAGATTTATTTTAAATGACAGTTAAACTCAACTTTTATTATTATTATTATATACTTTAACAGGACAACTCCAAATTACAAATTTGAACATAGTTATAATACAATATCAAAATAACACAATATCCATAAAAACTTAAATTTAACAATTTTTGAAGAATGCGATTTTCCGGAATATTTTCAAACTTAAGTAAAAATGTTAAATTTTCGTGCGAAAGTTACTATTTTGAATCCCTCCAAATCCAACCCAACTCTCACATGTGAAAAAATACATCCAAAAAAAATGAAGTACCTAAGGCATTTGTATAAAAAAATTATTTTGATTCGTTCATTATTAAAAAAATTAAAGTAATTTTAAAGAAAAACATTTTAAAAATTTCGTAATTTACCTATTTTAAAATCTTAATTTTTTGGGAAATTTTAATTTACGGGAACTTTCTCATTTTTTAATTAATATATTTTTAATTAAAAACGATTTGTGACGTATCGTTGACAAAAAATAAATAATAAAAAGAGTATACATCCTGGTAAAATTAATACATTCTCAGGTTTTCGCTTTGCAACGAAGCCTTAAATTTGATATAGTCCCACAATTTAAACACTTCATAAACTTCATTATATGGAATAAATTTAAAAGTTGTTAACAATTAAATAGCTGTTGTCCTATGTTAATAATATAATCGTATAAATATTGCTTTTTTTAATCAAACTTTCGGACTTCACTACCTGATAAAGACAACGCTCAGTTATTTAGTCTAGTAACCAGTCAGACCTCACGGTGTTCTAACTTCAAAAAGCATCAATTTGGTCAACAATTTTCTATACATATATGACAATGCTAATCATAAATAAAACATTAGCATTCATACTAATAATAGTTTTAATACGGCCTAACCATTTCAAGCATAATTTTTCACATCAAGACTACACTTTATCTTAAAATACTAACACGTCATTTCTAGGTTATGCTCAGTTCTTAGTACGTTTAACCAAGAACTTAAGCTTAAGTTTTATGTGCCACATTTTAAAATTTTATAAAAACCAGAACATTTATTATTTAGTGTTGCCACATTAATTACAAAAACCATAAGTTTTGTTTGCGATTGTTTTTTTGATAAAAAATTATAAAGAACATGGTAGGAAGAAACAAACATAAAATAACATTTTTTTCAATGGTACAATTTTTATTATTTAAAAAAAAGATAAAAACGTACAATTTAAAAGAAAAATCCTAAGATTTTGCCTCCTAAATGTTTCCGTCTGGCTTCTTCGTGATCCATAATACCACCACTAGTAGTCAATACAACATACCTAAAAAAATTTTTTTTAATTAAAGGACTATTTGTTAGTTACAAATTAATTAAAATTGTTCATTTTTCTTAAGCCTCGAAAAACACACCTTAAAGATTTCAGCTATATTTGTGAACTTTTATTACAATGTTTTTAATTTATAATTAAACAAAAATTAACTTAAAAGCAATATGAATTTTAATTTTAGAAAGGAAATACTAGTTCTCATATTGGTTTGTAAACATTTTAATAATACATTATTGTAATAAAAATTAAACTCAACATAAATATCTAATGTAACAAAAAAAAAAAGCTTATATTATTGATTTCTACATATTTTTGTAGATATTTCTATAATTTTTTTAGCTTTGATACAAAGCTGAGAAGGTATTTAAGTATAATATAATAATATTTTAGATATTATATAAAATGATTCAATTTATAGCACAATGTTTATNAAGTATAATATAATAATATTTTAGATATTATATAAAATGATTCAATTTATAGCACAATGTTTATACAAGTTAGCAATGCAAGTTTATAAAAAAAACTAAGCATTTGAAAATAATGTATAATTAATTTAGCAAGTTCATGAGGAAACTCTTAATCATAAAAATTTCTTGTCGGACCTTGCATGTATACAACAAAAGAAATAAAATGATAGTTTTTGACACAATAACAAAATTACTACTCCTTTATATTAATTATTATAACATTTTTAATCTTTATGTTGATATATGATCCACATTAGGAATGTTTTTAAGAATTATGCCAATTTCTCAATTGATAAAAAAATTTTGTATCACTTTATGATTTAGAAAATAGACTTAAAAGTATCTGTTAATAAAAAAGAATAAAACCTATTAGCTAAAAATTTATATTTTTTCAGCGCTATTAACAAATTAACTACTTGTATGTACACAATACACTTTTAAGTACAGTTCTATAAATTTTATTTGTAATCTAAAACAAATTTTATAGTATCTTCACTAATAATTTATTATTTGTTTGTTTTAATTTGAATCTTAACAAACATATAAGAATGACGACTTTTATTAATTTTTAATATAAATGTCTAATCAGAAACACCAATTTATATATTAACATAAATAAATTATATGTAATAATATAAAAATTGCTAACTGATTAAGATTAATCAGTTGAAGAAAACTATAAATTTGAACTATGAGTAAATTAATTATAAATAGGTACATTACAATGAATCAAATTACATTAGCGACTTCAGAGTTAAAAATAATTTAATAATCTAAGCATTCCGTTAAGAAAAATTATTACTCAATGAAATAATGTAGTTAGATATACAAAAAAGAAGTGGTTTCTTATAAAATAAGAGAATATTGAAATAGATATTTAAAATAATAGGTATGTAGTATTGTTTTACTCGCTAAGAGAACAAATAAAAGAAAATAATGAATTTTAATAAGTTTTCATTTTTGACAATGAAAACATTTTTGAATTGACCACCAAAATAATGATGCCGGATTCATATTACAAGATATTCAATGTTACTTCTCAATTAATAATATTAATAACATAAAATTTACTTTTACATTTTAAATAATATTGCCTCTAATAGAAAAATATATTATTTTTTTTAGATTTTATAAAGGAAGTATGATATTTATAATAAATTAATTATACTACAATATTTTTCATAAATTCATAATGGAGGGAAAATTATTTTTGCAAGTTAGCAATGTAAAGACATTTAAATTCAATACATCTGAAAATATGCAAAAATTAATTTAGCAAACCCGTAAAAAGAACTAAATTAAATATCTTTTATTCTAAGACCATAGTTTGCTTTTTAACATTTAACTAATGACATTTATAATAAATTAATTATACAACAATATTTTTCATTAATTCATAATGGAGGGAAAGTTATTTTTGCAAGTTAGCAATGTAAAGACATTTAAATTCATTACATCTGAAAATATGCAAAAATTAATATAGCAAACCCGTAAAAAGAACTTAATTAAATATCATTTATTCTAAGACCATAGTTTGCTCTGATTGTAAATTTAAAGTTCATATGAATAAGTAAGATACAGCTCAATTATACAATTTTAATAAACTTTTAAAAATAAATACTCTGAATGTCCTATTCTAAATACATATTATCTATACTTAAAGAAAATGTACTACTAATCAGTAAAAGAATAAAATAAATGTACAAATATCAATATAACATACAACAATTACGAATCAAGATGAAATATTCCTATTGTCAAAGTGGAATAAATGCAAGACTGGCTGTATTTAAAGGGAACAGTAAGCCCTACAATTATCCCCCTATGACCACAGAAAACGCTCCATATTAAAAGTAAATTATTTAATGAACAAATTAAAAAACAGAACAACAATTACATTCTTAAATAACGATAGTTCCCAAGATAATAAAATGTATAATAACTCAGTTTCAATATACAACATAATATTTTCTAATTATTTAAATAAAAAGTGTTAATTACCCAAATTGTCTGGAAGGCAGTAATTGATTAGTCCATTTTTCAATATTTCTAATAGGTACATCAAATCTTGGGGATATAACACCACACTTATTCAAACGACCAGTTAGATTAACAACTACTTTGCCAGCTCTGTGATCATCAACAATTTCAAACTCACCAATATAACCTATAATAGCAGATATATCAGTGAGTAAATCTAATTTTATATGCGACAAAGAATTTTTTAATTTTAGCACTATTGAACTAGTTTCATAAAATTATCTATAAAATATAACTAAAAAATTGTAGAAAAATACATTAGCTTTTCTCCAGCTAAAAGAAAATATATTTATTGCTTCAATTAAGCAAATTCAATTTTGTAAAAATAAATAAAGTAAAAATACTTTAAATGAAAATTGATTATAAAATATAAAAATTGCGTATGAATGATATACTATACCCTACATTTATTTAAATTAGTCTCAAAAATAGGATCAAAATCAAATATTAAATCTCTACGATTCTCCTTAATTATAAAAAAAGAAAATAAGTTGTAATGAAATTGTTTACTCATATAACATTTGAGACTTTTTAGAATGAAGTAATAAATTAAAAGCACTAACCATGGTTCATCATAACTTTTAAAAATTTGATGATGACTTTGGAACAAGGCCTAATCAAAACTTGTCTTTTGCCTCTCTTTTCAGCATTGTTAATTGATTTCAGAGCATCGCTCAATACGTTCATACGCACCATTTTGCTAGTTTAAATGAAATATGCTACCTAGAAAATAAATACATATTCAAAATCCATAATACAAGTGTTCAAATTAAATATAATCTTCATAACATCATCTTAAACGAACTACGAATACTCTATACGAAGTTTGATGAGACACTTAATTAAGTATTACCTATTCTACAAAGGTAAAGCACAAAATAGACTGTCGTCAAAAAACTAAATAATTATTAGTGCCTCAGTGCCACTTCAACAGTTAATTTTAATTAAATAATTTATCTCTAACGTCTTGTATTTTTAAATAATATATATACATAGAATAAAAACAATAGTTACCTAGGATTACGACGGATAAAATTTAAGTTCACAAATCTCAAAGCATCACAACTCCTACGATTCCGAAGTAAAAGACTAATCGGGTGTCCGGGAGTAAGGACGGTTGTCAGCAGGGTTTACGCACTATGAAAAAAAATATTGAGGTTATGTTTATACGGTGATAACCACTAAATATTTACAATAAAAAATATTTAATAATCACATTAGGTAAAATAGTAAATGTTTGCATTACTTAATGTTTTGAAATACTTATTTAATTAAAACTTGAATACTTTGATAGTGTTTAATAAATATTTCAATATTGTTATTAATTTTGAAAAAAATTATGTATATTACAAATTAAGTTGGTAATTGTTTCAGGCGCATAAGTCTAATTAAAAATAAAACGTTTGCCTCAATTATTGAGATATGAATTTTATTTATAAGTGATCTACCTAAAATATTCCAAATACAATCATATATATATATATATATATATATATATACAGAATGTTGCATCATGTTCTGCTACTACAACTACTATAACTAAATATTTTTAGTAACTTTCTTTTTTAAAAATTGACTGAGCTTAGGACTAAAAAATACAAAATTTATTTTTTTTAATTAAAAAAAAATCTAAATAGCCATTTTATAGAGTAAATTATAAGAAATAAATTGGTAACAAAATCTCTTCTTATTTTGTGGAATTTCTAGAATATTTTATTATTGATCTATGCTCATCAAGGGGAATACAAATAACACAATCATCATTACAAATTTTATATTGATTATAAGTATGGTATTTTTTCATGAAAATCATCCTTGCTTGAAATAAATGTTATGACGATAATACATTTTTAGTATAATAATCACGAAAAAATTTTAATTATTGCAAATTTTAAAATGCTTTAGAAATTTAACCACAAAACTTTAAGAAGATATTTTTATTATTATTTTTAATTATCTGTTCTACAAAGTAACTATTTAGATTTTTTTAAAACTTTTGTTAATTTTTTCATTTTTAATAAAATAAAAAATTTATATTTTTTATGTCACTATAGTTTTAAGCTCAACTAAGAAAAAAAAAAGTAACGATAAATATTCTATGAATCATTCATATGGAACATGGTGGAATAATCTGTAAATAAACAAAATGAATTTTTTAATACTAATTACTTAATTTCTCATAAAATAATGATTTTTCTTTGGCTTCTTTAGTAACATATGTACTACCGTTTGTCTGTTATAAAATATTTTATACATTTATTCGTTATGTAGAGGTGTCAATTTTATTTCAATGGCAACATACATAAATAATTAGCTTATAAAATAGAAAGGATAGCGATAGAATGAATGGTATAGTAATGTATAAGAGAGACAGCCATACATTTGTTTATATATATATACACAACTTTCACTAATTCATTTAAACTTATTGATCACTAATAAATCTCAACGAGTTGCTGAAAAATAATGTATTTTTGTACACTTGATACTACAAATAAAATTTAGACCACTCCAAATGTCAACATGTGATTGGTTAGTCTGCACAAATTTTTAAAAGAACTGAACAAGGCATGGAATAAAGTATATAGTAATAAAATTTTCAATAATTTCATACCCGATTAAGATTTATATTTTTACAAATTTATATATTTATTAAAATTATAATAAATATTAACATTAATGTTTATACTTTTTATAATGTACATAAAAATTCATTACTACTTGGCTATTTTAATTTCATCTTTGATGTGATTTTTTTAGTTATTTTTAAATATTTCTGAAATTTTAATTTATTTAAAGTATATTTGAAACCACTAATATGATGTATATTTATGAACTCTTATTAATATACCAATTTTTAGTTCATCAATATATTATTAAGACGCCACATTTTGTAGTATACAATATAAATTTATATTTAGCAGTATACATTAGTCTAAATACATGAAAATAAAAAGGGTACATTACAATGTTCTATCATTTGTAAATGATAATACAATGAAACAAGAACTATAATACTTAATATAGTGTCATATCAGTAAAAAAAGAAGTACAAAATATTAGATGAAAACAATTGTGAATATTAAACTTTTTATTATTTATACAGTGTGAGAATTGAAATCAAAACCCCATAGATGGCGTATAGCTGCAATAGCACATTCTTTTTTAGCTCCTTTTTTAGTATTACCTAAAAGAAAAACAGATTCTTAACAAGGCAATAAAAATGAATAACAAAAAGTTAGTGCAAAAACTATGTAAGGATTATCACAGAGCGCAGTAAGGAAGTAGAACTTCATTACTCCACAATACTATATTGTCTAAATAATTTGTTATCTAATTTTATAATAAAAGAATTTTAGTCAACAATTTATTTTGCTGGTAACTAAGATAACTATTATTTTTTTATATGTTAACCGTAATTTATAGACACCTATAAACTGTGATAATGATTGTGGGTTATTGGCTCATTATATTAAAATACCTAGTATACAAAACAAAATGATTTTATGTACTACGAGAATAGTATAAAGTAATCATAAAATAAGATAATAAAAAAAAATATGATGATAAATCTTAATAAATAAAATACTATAGTTGAATCTATAACTATTCAAATTTTTATTAAGGTATTTGAGATTTTTGAAGTGCTAAAATCAAGATTGTAGGTGCTGTTGCACTCCTAGCATCCCAAGTAGTTTTGCACCAGTGCTAATTTATGAAAATATCCTTCAGTATAATTAAGTTAATTCAATTATGTTAATTGAATTAGAATTAAAGATAATATAAGACATTTACTATGTCTGAGAAAATGACTTTATATTAATAATTACCTCGTCCGTTAAAAGAAACATTGTTGATAACACAGGATACCTCAAAATTAGGAGGATTACTAGGAGTTATTGTTTTTTCATTAAACTGAATACCAGGATGCAATTGATGAAGCAGCTGTAATGGATTAAATGTTAGAGGATTGTCTGGGAATTTTTTCATTCCAACTGTCTAAAATAATTTAAATGTAATTTTTATGAAACTATTTTATCTAACTAATGTCATTAAAATACCTTTTTCATAGGTTTATCAATAGATTCATCAGATGCTCCTTTATTGAAAGATCGAAGATCCCAGTGAGCAATCAAATTATGCATTGCTAATGAAGCAAAATGTGGCCAAGGAAAATCTTCTAATAGTGGTCCTTGGGTTTTTGTGCCATTCTCATCTGATTTTTCATTAGGTACTAATTTTACTTCTTCTTTTTTTTCTAAAATACAACAAATTTAAAAAAGTTAATTTTTAATGAAAATAATAAAGTGAAAATTGATATATTTTTTAACCTAATATAATTTTCTTACCAATACTTTCACTCATTTTTTTTGCCAACAAACTACGTAAAAAATTTTCGCATGCTTTTTGTTTAGCCTGAGTTTTAGACATATGATCTCCTGAGTAAATTTGACCATCCATCTAAAATTATAAAAATATCTATGCACATTAATAAAAAAAATTTGAAATGATCTACAAGATCTCTTGTTTCAAGTATATACAATAAAGTTATTTATATACCTCAATAGTTGCAGTATAAACCAAACAGTTATTTTGAATTACGGGCTCATGTAATGTAATAGGTACATTTTTGTACAACTCAGTAAATACCATAAGAGGACTTTTTGGACTTACTAAACGGCGAACTCTAGCATTGATTTTTTTTTTTTGTTCTTTTTTATCAATTTCTGTTTGGAAAAATAAAGAAATTAATATATTATTTGAAAAAAAAAAAGCATTTATATCAAACCAAACCTACAAATTTTATTGACATCTCAATAGCTACCTTAGTTATAGCAAGAGTTACACATAAATTTAATTTGAATCTTTTTATGATTAAGAAATGCTTTTATTAATTCAAATTAATTAAAGATAAAATTAGACACCGCCAAAAAATTTGTTAAACATGATGATCAGTTTATCATAAACCCTCAATTACTCAGAAATAAAAACAATATTGGGAAAAAATTTTTGATTTCATATAGTTACATAGATTTCTTGATTTATCAGTTAATAATGAGTTTTTTAAATAATTTCTTATAACTTAAAGGCGTCTCAACTTTATTTTTTTTAAAGGTAACATACATATTTAATTAACTTATAACAAAGAAAATAATCAAATTAAGACTGGTTGATAACAACTTTTGGACCAGTACTTCTGAGTTATTCTCATTTTTATACCTAGGTGGGACAAAGACTAGAGCAGAAAATGACTAGTGATAAAAATAGCAGCACCTACTCCTCACCTTCAATCATTACTTAAAATTGTTAATAACTTCTATATGTTAACTTTTAAAAAAATCTTTTTAAGAAAGAAATCAAACATTTTTTTTTCAAATATTGTATATATTTTGTGAGTAATTGAGGGTTTATGATAAACTGATTGCTCTATATATAGAGTCCACATAGTCACAATTTTTTGACATCTAAGAAACTCTATTCAATGGATTCAAGCTTATAAAATTATTATAGTAAATTGTATGATATTTAATTTTTTATTAACTCAAGTATTTGATATAAATCAACTATAAAAATTGACTAAACAAATTTTTATAAGACTAATAAGTCTTAGTATACCCTATTCATTTTTTTATCTATAAACACAGTATGTTCCTTTTTAATAAACTTTTAAAAAATAAATTTACCATAAGAATTATTATTTTAGCACTTATTCATATATTTGACAATATTTAACTTTCTTTACAAGAATATAGTGTTAAAAAAATTATTGTTTTAAAAATACAATACTTAAAACATTAATATTTGTTCAGTATCAAAGTATATTGCTGGTCTATACTTTACTTACTGTAAGAGCTGAAATAATTATTTAAAACTATGAACGTTTTTTTTAATACAAAAAGAATATACTAGTTTATTGTAATTTTTGAGATCAGATGTCAATATACAAATGTCAATACTAATAAATAAAATTTACATACTGCGCTTTGGTGGCCAAATCACTTTAGGTTTTTCTTCACTTAGTTCCCCAACAGACGATTGAATGCTCTCATCTTTTATAGTGTTCTATATAGTCAAAGAGACAATACAAGCAATTTTAGAATAAATATAATTGTATAATTGTTATCCAATGCTACAATTTAAAAGTTTTAACATTTTTAACCTTTACTTTTTACATGTATATATTTAACATTAATTAAAAAAATTAAATTGATTAAATTTTCCTTTTTTAATTTAGGATGATTTAGAAAAATTACATACTAGAAGTATTTTTATATTTTATTGATAGTATAACAGACCACAATTTTAATTAAATGATGAACTTTAATTCAATTTTAAACATGTGAAAATCACTTAAATATTTTGAAAAATTTCTACCATACTAAATCAACATCTATCCAACATAATTGACTTAGCTGTCTCAAGTTTAAGAAAACTATAAATGATGAATTAATATTTTATTTTTAGTTTTTTTTTATTTTTATCATAATAAAAATTTCATTATTATAATATTTTCAAGTACCTTTGTCAGAATTATTTGACTGATAGACTTAACTAAATATGAAAAAGCTGTTTTTAGCAACAATTTTTACTTTTATCAAATTAGAGCTTATAATTTAAGTGAGTTAAAATTCTTTTAGCATCCCTAAAAATTGTATTCTATATTCTAATTTTATTCATCAAATCTTTGAAATTTTAATGAATTGATCTCCTACTTTTAGATTTTTTAATAATAAATGAACATTTATAACTATAATATAGAATCTAGATTTAACACTTATTACTTTATTAGTGAAGCGAAAATACGGGGACCATTTTACTCACATTTTGAAGTGAAACGGTTGGATTAGATACGTAAGATGAAACTTCAGTCGGTAATACATTAGCCTTTGTATTTCCTTGATTTTGTTGGGTAGTTTGATGTTGAAGGTGGCTTTGTATTGAATTAGTTGCCTGTTTATAAAAATATATGAACATTAAATAATGAATTAATTTTTGAAAAAATAAATGTAAATGTAACTACATATTGTTGTGTATCCTGTTGCTTCTGTTTTTGAATACTTGAACGAGTTTCATAACTTGTACCTGAAAATGTTAAAATTAAGAACTCAATAAAATTAATTCTGAGGGCTCTAAAATTGAAATAAAATTAATTTAACTAAAATTAAACTTAAATAATAAAATACTACTAAAATAATTTAACTTAAATTAAATTTTTTTCACAAACCTGAATTTCGAGTAATCATTATTTTTTCTATAACCAGAAAGAAAAAATGAATTGATTATCTGAAATGAAATCATAAAAATAACTTATATACGTAATAGTTAGGTAGTTTTCATTCATAATGTTTAGTTAATAAGTACAAAACAGATACCCTATACTATACAATACTACATTATATATAATTTGTTTTATATATAATATGTATAAAACTATGCATCACAATACACCTTAACAATAACATGTATTTGCATATATTACAATATTAAATCATCAATGTCTCTTTTTTGCTTTCCTGCAAGTTATATTTTTTGACACACGTTGTGGTTATTAATACATTAATATACTACATTAAACAAATATTTTGAATGGTAATCTAAGAAATTTTTAGAAAACATACCTAATTAAAATGAAATGTTATTACTTAGGCTAACTTGAAATCACAATTTATGAGTAAAATTATTAAAATTAATTAACACGCACCTTCATTGAATAGTTTACAATATTACATTAACTTCTTGTATATGAACAAATAGGGATTTAGAGATACGTATTGATTAAATAATGATAAAAATTATTATCAAAGAGTATTATGACATTATGCGGCATCGGCAAAGTACGCTATTTTCGGTAAATGGCCACCTAGCTCTCCGCTCAATTAGATCCCCGGGATTTAGTTGTCCGAAAAACTGGAGACTACGATATTAGGTAATTAAACCTCAGAACTTAAAATCATTTAAAATTCCTCCCCATCGTGATTTTTTTATTTTTATTTTTTTTTAATATCTTACTCAGTAACACAACGTATTGTAATTAGTTAATCAATCATTAGTTTATCACAACTTTTTCGCTCTGATAACAAAATAATTGGTATACGAAGTAAAGAAAAAATATTTGATCAAAAGTGATGGCGGCTATTTAATTTTTCCAGCAAACACACGCAATCTAGTTAATCATCTATATCTTTGGTATTACATAAAAATGTTTAATTTCCTGCTATCGTCACGTTAACTAAATATCTATCCAAAGGATATATTAAGGATCTAGTTAATACGGTGATATTAACAGAAAAAAATATTGTTTAAAAAAACTAAAAAAACACGCTTTTAAAGCACATCGAACTAAAAAGTTAAAAATAATTTTTAAAATAAGCTTAAAACAATAATGAACGAAAAATACTAGTATTATTGTAATAAAAGCGTCGGGCGCTCAATATACGAAAAATATGGCACAAAGCAACCACGCTGTGGGTTAATACTAGTATTTTTCGTTCATTATTGTTTTAAGCTTATTTTAAAAATTATTTTTAACTTTTTAGTTCGATGTGCTTTAAAAGCGTGTTTTTTTAGTTTTTTTAAACTATATTAATTTTTACTTTTTAGTTTCAAGTTATGATAGTAGTTATGGTTGTAACGGGTAACGAGAAATGAGGGTTCGATTCCGGAGAGGGAGTCTGAGAAACGGCTACCACATCCAAGGAAAGCAGCAGGCGCGTAAATTACCCACTCCCGGAACATGGAGGTAGTGACGAAAAATGACGATACGGGAATCATCCCTCGTAATCGGAATGAATACTTTATATCTCTTAATTAGAATAAATCGTGTTAATATATAAATTTTAATAGTAATTGGAATATATATACAAATAACGCAACTTAAGTACGTAAACGTATCATGCACTAGGTATAACCGTATTTTGTGGGCGGGCGGGTCGGACTAACGTTATACCTGAGGTATAAACGGTGGTAGGAATATATAAATATATATACGTAAGGCGCATTAGACGCGGACGGTATTGATCAGTCAAAATAAAAATTTGTTTATATATATATATATAATATTGATGACATGCACGCGTGTTCCGGTACGATAACCAAAAATAAATTTGTACAGGAATAGTGTTGTCTTGGAGTGGAGAGCGTGGCGTGGGGTGGGGTAAATGTGTTACGACAGTCTAGTCTCAAGACCATAGACGACGGGATACGCGTGAATAATAACACGAGGCGCGTGGAGAGGTACAAACAAATATACTCACATACAAACATACAGGTGAAACTAATATTAGCGTGTTACAAATAGCCTACAGATAGAATTACATAAAACAAACAAAATAAGATTTGCAATGAATATTTTAAATTAAATCTTCATAAAAGGAAGGTAAAAGCCTTTTTGGCTGTATTTACTTTACATTGGATATAAGTTTTTGGCTTAAATGCATTTTACCACCCCATCGAGATTTAAAAATTTTTTTTTTTAAATCAATTTAGTTTTTCATACCGACTAAGAATATATAAAAATTTTTTGTCGGCGAAGTCTAGTTTAAAAGTTATGAGCTTTCAAAGATTTCAATAATCATATACAAATTTTGTTATATACTGCTGTTTTCTTTTGATAATTTTCATTAATTAACTATAAAAAGTATTCTCGAAAATATAGTTACCGAGGAATAGTAAATTTAAGAGTATTTATGAGTACATTAAACGTGTTAATGTAGTGTTGAAGTAAATAAATTTAATTTTTTTATGAATTTTTTTTGATCTATTTTTTCAATATTATATCACCATTTTAACATCAAGGTTTTATACTTGTTGGGTCACTGAGAATTTCAGTCGAATGGGTTAAAATAGGTTGGGTTTGGGCTTGACTTCTATCCTCTGGGGGTTTGGGGGCGTGAGCCCCCATCCCATGAGAGTCCCGAAGGGGCTATTTCAATTTTTTCAAACACTTTTGAAAAAAGCATTGAAAAATACACGTTTAAAAAAAAAAAAAATGAAAAAACTCGATAGGGTGGTAAAATGCATTTGTTCCGTTTTTTGAAAATCTGACCCTTATTGCCCACATGAAAATTTAAAGTATCATTTCAAGTAAGGGCTTAAAGCAGAACCTTGGTGCACTCCTTCTCTTACCCGAAAACCAACTATTATTATCTCTTTTAGATACTCTTCATTCAGTAATTTTTCAAAATACTTTTTCCATCTTTTTTTACATCATCACTCGATAGTACCCTATTAACAACACTTTTTATACACCTTACATAGTGATTATCTTTAGACCTTTTTTCTAAAGTCTATAGACTTCTTTTTCACCTTTCTTTGTTCCTAGCCCATCGTACAACTCATCATAACTTTTAAACTTAGGAAAAAAATATTTATAACAATAATTTTTTTTATTTGTTTTATACATTTTTGTATTGGTTGCACTGTTTTATCTTTAAAACTAGTTATTAAAAAAAATCAGTTAAAAATAATATACATTTTTTAAAAAATTTCAAAAAATTTTATTTATTGTTATATTAATATATTTGGGGGGAAATTTCCGTTTTTTTTTAAAAATTAAACCACGTAAGCAGCGTATAAAGACATACATTTCTTTTATGAAATATTGAATTTAGCTTAACTGTAATTTTAACTAATTAACTGAAAAGAGCTAAGTTATTTCAATGGAAAATTTAATTAGTTAAGTTAAAAAGTTAATTAGAAAAATAATTAACTAGTTAAGTTGAAAAGTTAAAAAAATAAAATTAACTTTTTAACTAATTAATGTCTCCTATTGCATAATATGTTTGTATATTTGAATTCTAGACTTCAGAAATCGAATTTGTACCTTATCGCGTATGAGTCGGGTTATGCTAAAAATGTAAGTAAAGTCATAAACATTTGAGCCCTAGTTATTCTATTGTTGTAGATACATTTTTGATTAATTAATTTTTTTTTATGATTATGCCGAAGAACGTTAATCCAACAACAACGTTTATCGTTATTCCTATATTATTGAAACTATGAAAACGTCTTTTTTATAATGACGTTATCACAATTTAACATTATATATTGTTATTTTATAACGTTATCAATAATGTATTTAATCCCTAGTAATAACTGATCCACAATGTAACGACGCGCTCAGGTGATGAATAAATTCACACGACTTGTCTGATTTACAGTTAAATGACCCTGATAACGTTCAAAATGAGAGTTTGTGTTACCCATATAATTATAATTAAATCATAAAAAAATTACCAGCCTACGGTCTGCCAGTCATTACTCGTCCATTTGATCTGTTTATAGCATTTTGTACATACGTTGTGCATGTAATATCGTATTTATTGTAACAATAGTATGCGATTATTCGTTCAATAATTCCTATATATGGTTAGTTAAGTTACATATATATATACATATATTTGGAATAATATAAGTAGTTAGAATTGTGTCAGAGGTCATATGTCAATTGATTTATAAATATTTACTACTACTTATAATAATAATCTTTTTTTTATAATTATAGTGAGATGGATTCCACATATATACACACAACTTCCATGGTTTAATGTATCAACAATATTACTTAAAATTTAGTGAAATATTCTATTATGTCTTCAGTGTTGTTTAAATTAATTATAATTGTCATATTATTTACTACTACTGCTATGAGTTGGGATGTCCAACTTAGTACTTCTCACATTCATGAACTACAAATGGGTAAAAGTGTAGAAATTCATTTTAATTCTACCACTTATGAAAATGATAGTGAAGAAAGTAAAATTGAAATAATTAGTACAGATTCAGAGGTAATAATCACATACCCTAGATTTTTTGATCTACCAAAAAAAGATCATCAAAGTACATGGAATGCTAAATTTAATATTACTGGGCAATTCTTAGGTTATGCAAAAATTTATTTACAAATGGTTCAATTTAGTAAGTTAATTATATAATATATTTAGTTATTTTATTAGCTTATTTATTTTTCTTTATAATTTTTTTTAGAAAATGGTAATGTAGTATCCATTACTAATTCCAGTAATAGCCACATTAGTGTGACGGTTGTTAGAGAGCAGAGATTTATTGATAAAGTCTTCCTAATTTGTGTAGTTGTTCTTATGAGTATCATATTTATAAATTTGGGTTGTGCCATAGAAGCAAAACAAATAAAAGAATGTCTTCAAAAACCTATTGCTCCCATTTCTTCATTTGTTTCACAATTTATTATTTTACCCATTGTATAGTAATTTTCAGCTTAAGATTTTAATTTTGTTATTATATTTTTAAAACTGTTTCAGATAAGTTATTACTATGCAAAATTAATTTTTCCAAATCAAGTTGCCATGCAGTTAGGACTTTATTTTACTGGAATAAGCCCTGGTGGTGGTGCATCAAGTGTATGGTCAGTTCTCTTAGGTGGTAATATCAATCTTAGTGTAGTACTTACAACTATTGGAACATTAGAATCATATAGTAAGTATATTGTTTACTTAGCAAAAAACTTGTTCATACATAAAATGTTTTTTTTTATTGTTTTATCATTATAATATTGTTGAATTGAAATTTTTTTCTTCATTTTTTAATATTATATTTTAGTTTTGAACCATTTAGTTCACTATTTATGATTTTAATTGTTAAATTAGTATGAGTAGGAGTAGTTTTGAGTAGGGAATGCTATACCCTCATAGGACTACGCTTGTGATTATTGACCTTGTAATAAATGGTTTACCCACTTCCTTAGCTATAATGATATTGTGTTAGATCGATATCAGTGTAATAATTCTGTCTAATCACTAAGGTAGAGATGACCTTATATAATTGGGATATAGGCTAGAGAGATGATAATGATGATAAAGTAATAGGTTTGCCTATTTATAAAAAAAATTGTTAAATTAAAAACTCTGATAATTAATTAAAAAATTTTAGAATACACACCTAAAAATTTATATTTTATTTTAATTAAAGTTTAATGATTCTATAGTTTTTATTCTAAAATTAAATTACTTTTACAGTCATGATTCCATTTTGGGCTACTTTTCTTGGCAGTTATATATTTGCTGTAGAGGAATTACCAGTTCCTTATTCCCGTATTGGATCATCTATTTTATCATTGATTATTCCTCTTATAGTTGGAGTTTTAATCCAACGATTTATGCCAAGAGTTTGCAAAGTAATGGTTCGAGTATTAAAACCATTATCTAGTTTCCTTATACTATTTATAATCATATTTGCTACTGTCAGTAATTTGTATCTGTTCAAAATATTTTCGTGGCAAGTAAGTTATTTAATTTAATAACTTATAATTTCTTTACTAGTGTATGATAAAGATTCTATTTAATCCTCAATTTAGATTCTATTAGCAGGAGCATTAATTCCATGGACAGGATATATTATCGGTTTTATTACAGCATATATTGCACAATTACCAGTGCCAGATATTATATCAATGACAATTGAATCAGGTATACAAAATACTGGCATTGCTATTTTCATGTTGAAGTTTTCGTTGGGACAACCAGCTGCAGATATTACAACAGGTGTTAAATTTGTATATATTAAAGCCTTTTTTTATTACTAATAAAAAGGTCCACGCTGGACAGATGTTCAAGATGTTTTAAGATCTAGGGTGACCAAAAATTTTATTATATATCTGGGAAAAAAGCCAAAACTTTGATCCTTGTATGCAAATTAAAACTACTCGCATTTTGACACTAAAAATATAAATATCTAAATTATCAATGCTGTATTGTTAACCAAATTATAAATTCTATAATTTCATTGAGTTTTAATAATGACTGTGTAATAGTCAGTAAAAACCAAGAAATATACACTAGTGTTGATTTAAACTTTGATAAAATAAACCGTTTATTTTCTTTTTTCAATTAATCTAACCACAGGTAAGACTAACCAAGAACTCATACCTTTACAATATTATCCAAAAGGTATAACATCAAAAGTTAATAGTATCCTTTGTTTAATAATTTTCAAAAAAAAATTTAGTCCTGTTTTCTTTTCTCCCCTTTAAAACTTGTGTTTTTAATATGAAAACGTAAATGTTTAACTAGCTTAAAATAAAGAACCGTAGCTCAGTGGGGTTGTGGTATAGTTGGGCAAATATAGATAATATTTGATAGTGATTAAAATTATTATCATAAGAAATGCTTTGATGCAAATCTGTAGATAGTGTTTAATTTTAAGAAATGGCTGGATAATTCCAAAAACAAAATCAACTCCTATCTCATTAATTATATCATTGTTAGGAGTTCTTTGATTTATAAGTATAATGTATGAATAAATATTTATTTTAGTCATTAAATTTAGTATAAAATTGATTTTCAATAATTTAAAATTGTATTTCTTTTTTTTTTTTTGAAAAATTAAAACTCAAAGTATGTTTTATTATTTCTATTAAAAGCTTGTATAAAAACGAATGTCTTAATGCAAAACTTTTCAGAAAAAAATTTCTTGTTAATTATCACTGAATTTTTATCAAAGTCAAAAATATACTTTTATACATTAGTTTTACGCATTGATTTCAAATTTGAAATTAGATTTTTTCAATCACCTCTAATTTTTGAGATTATAATTAGTAAAAGATGAGTATTAACATATAAAAAAAAAAAAACGCATAGCAAGTCCAATAGTTTCTCAGTTTCGCATTGCAACTAAAAAAATAAATAAAAAAGTTGTTAAAAAAGTCTACTCACATAAGCTTATTATAAAATTGTTTATAATTGTAAAAATGCATTATTATATTCAAGTTAAACCCAAAATTATTTTTTTTTAAATTATTTATACGGTGATAAGTTACCAAAAAATATGGAATATTTTGTATACAGGTAGTAGAACCCACAAATTAATTAAAAATGATTGATTGATAGCAAAACTGATTTTTTTTTTAGATATCAACACTTATATATAGCAAGAGGAGTAATGCGGTTCTTAAATACCTAGAATTAAAAATAAACATACCCACACTTTACCTTCTGTTAATACAGTAAAGTCTTAATAACTTATAAAATGCTGGTTTAAAAGTTGTTAATGACTGATAATTTCTTTTTTTTTTTTCCATTTAAAAAACAAGTTGACAAGGACATTGTTAACTTCTGATAAGTTAAAATTATCTGCTCAATACTTATAAAGGTTTTTTATGAACTATATTAATCAATTATTGTGCATATACATTTTTTAAATTGATTTATTTATCTTAGTATAAAAAGTAATTTTAATAATTTTATTTATAAATCTAATTTTTAAATGCATTATTATATTTTAGTTGTACCTGTTGCTGTTGCATTGATGACACCAATTCCTTTAACAGTAGCATTCATTTTTAAAAAATGTTTACAGAAAAAAAAACAAGAAGAAATTATAGATGTTGCCACCGTTACAATGTTAAATGAAAATAAAGAATAGAAACTAGATAAATAGCTATTGTATATTAGTTAAGCTCAGTATTAATTATAAACTTTTTATTTTATTCTTATATGAACCATTATATCTTCATTGTATTTTAATAAAAAGAATCTCAAAGAATGTATTTTTGAATGAATAAAAAATAATTTTTCTTGGTTTTTTTATTATACATTTTAAAATCTTATTAGTTCGTGGATATAATTTTTATCTAAAAATTGTCTAGTTATATTAGGTATTTAGTTTTTTGACATTAGTATAGGGTAGATCTGTCAATCCCGACTATTTAAAAAGGATAATCAAAAATAGGAAAAGGAATTTTTTTTAATTTTTTGTTCAAAAAGTACAAAATAAATAATTAAAAATTAATATTTTAAGTTTAAAAACATTTTTTTTTTTAATGTGGCAGACAAATGCCTCCTTTTAATAGCTATATATTGTGTGAGCCTGGCAGAGAAACTTTTTATGGCATTGCTGTTTCAAGAGTTTGACTATGTGCCCTCTAGTATTGATTAAAAAAACTAGTGATATTATTTTTTCAAAAAATTCTTTGTAACCATAACCATGGTTAACGTTTATAATTTCTTGAAACTAGCTGCCGGACGCCGCATTATCTTTAATACAAAACCCAAAACATTGCCGCTGTCGCATTACGCACACGGTAATATTTTTAATGAGAATGTGACCGCCAACTATTGTCTTGTTAATTTTTCTTAAGTTTGAAGAAAAACTATAAGAGTTTATTTTATAAATTCTTATGAGTATTTTTATGCGTTGTCAAATTTAAGAATATTTCAATTTAGTTTGGTCGTGAATGAAAATTTGATTGTCTACGATGGTTGTCTCAGATTTGTAAGTAAAATTCTTTATACTCGTTTAAACATTAGCAATTGTTTTAGTTTTATATAATATATTTTGAAAGTATTATGGAATAAATTAATTTTGAACAGTTAAGCTAAAGGTATTAACAAAATTGTGAATTTGGAAAGCTAGTAGCGTTCAAATTATGCAATGTAAAAAAATTTGAGGTCATTTTTATGAGAGGATGTGTGAATGCGTTTTTATTACCTCATATTAAAAATGTATTATTCTTATAACTTCTACATTTTGTAAAGAAAATATTTCTCTCTAATATTTATAACTGTATTTACTAAGTTATACTTCTTTATTAATTGATTGAAAAATTAGGCCTAAAAATCGTAAGGATAAAACAGAAGGTGATCACTCCGATAAAGAAAACAAAAAAAATGAGCAGAATATAAAAAAGAAAAAACGCAGTCAGTCATCAAGTAGTGGATCAAGTAGCAGTCGGTATGTTGGCATAATTATTTTATAATATTTAAAAATTTAATGCTGTTATCTTTATATTGAAGTTCATCATCAAGTAGTTCTCGCTCTGGTAGTGGTTCTTCAGGATCTAGTAGTCGCTCAAGTTCCAGTAGTTCTGGTTCAAGTTCTCGATCCAGTTCTAGTTCTTCCAGTTCAAGTAGTTCTTCAGGGAGCTCAACTGCTCGAGCAAAAACAAAAACAAAGTAATCAAAATATAATTTTAGAACTAATACTTCTAAGCTTAAAAATTTTTATTTAATTATTTAGGCCCAGGTCAAAAAGTGGAAGCAAGACCAAAAGTCGAAGCCGTAGTCCAAGAAAATCTAGGCGTGATGAAGATGAAAAAGTTAAAAAGGCTGAAAGTAAAACAAGAACTTCAAGAAAATCAAGGTATTTTTGTCTTATTATCATCTTTGTTTGAAAAAATTAAAATATTGGTTATTTAGATCAAGTAGCCCAAAACGACGTAAAAAGGAAAGAACTCCAACACCAAAGCCTTGTCGTATTCATGTTGGCCGATTAACACGTAATATAACTAAAGAACATATTCAAGAAATTTTTTCTGATTTTGGAACTGTCAAAGAAGTTGAAGTTCCTTTAGATCGATTTACTAAACTATGTAAAGGATTTTGTTATGTTGAGTATGCAACTCCTGAAGAAGCTGAAAATGCCATGAAGCATATGGATGGAGGTTATTATTTATAATATTTATTTTAAAAGTAAAACAAAAATTAAAATAACGTTTTTTTACTTAAAGGACAAATTGATGGGCAAGAAATAACATGTGCACCAGTATTAATACCCAGGCCAGTTATAAGAAGGAGTCCAATTCGCAGAGGAGGTTGGGGTGGCGGACGTCGTAGAAGTCCTCCACGTTTTAGGCGTAGATCGCCAATGCCTATCAAACGGCGTTCACCTCGTCCTCGAAGAATGAGATCTCGATCAAGATCCCCAAGAAGACGTAAGCATAGCCGCTCCGTTTCTAGCAGTTCTCCATAATTTAATTATGTTGTTGGAGCTTAGTTAACAAATTCCACCACTCATAATTTTTTTTGTATAATATAATACTATTTTATACACACATTTTCAATTAAAAAAACACTTTAATATTTGTAATTCTATGATGTTGATATAAATGTATTTAATGAGTATGAATTCTAGATAATTAACGAGTAATAATAACTTGTATTTTAACTGCATTCTTTTGTTTTTTAATTGTTATTTGAGTGTTTCAAGTTCAAATTCATAAAATTAAGTAATGATGAAAAACAATTAATTGTGGCCTTAGAAAAAAACAAACGAAACAAATATATTGTGAGATTCTATATATTTTGATTGTGAACACCGTATTGTGAAATAATTTTTCTTCTTCTTCCTCGCCTTAATCCCAATTACTTGGGGTCGGCCACCCTTATTCTAAACTTCCACTTGACAAGATCTCCCTCATTTCCTACGCTCACATTAACTGTCCTCATATCACATTCAATAACATCCCTCCATCTCTTTTTTGGTCTTCCTCTACTTTTTCCTACCTCAACATTAATTCACATAACTGATCTTACAGCTTCCGATTCCTCTCTTCTCATAACATGAGTAAACCATATAAGTCTATTTTCTCTCATATCTATGATTGACGCTATACCTATACCCCTCATATACTCGTTCCTTATCCTATCTTCTCTAGTCACTCCACTCATCCATCTAAGCATTCTCATCTCTGCACTACTTTCTTAACAACAGACCAACAAATTATGAACCATACATCATAGCTAACCTCGTTACAGTCTTGTAGAATTTACCTTTCAGTCTCATTAGAATTCTTTTATCACATAAGAGGCTTATCTTCACTTCAACCACCTACACTTAATCCTTTATCTTACATCCTTGTCAATACCATCATTATTTTTCTCAACTCATTCTAAATACTTAAAACATTTCACCTTTTTTATCACGTCCTTGCTTATTGTCATTAATTCCTTCATTTCACCTACCTTATGTTATCCTTTGTTAATTTCGTACTTCGTACTTTTTTCGTACTTTGTCTTACTCTTATTTTTAATCCCTGTCCTTCAAAAATTGATTTCCACACCTCTAGCCTTTGATTAATTTTTGTCTACTATTAACAAAATATTGTCAGTAAACAACATGCACCATGGTACCTCTCCTTGTATTTCTGGTTACTATCTCTAGTAATTTCATCAATCACTATAGAAAATAAGTAAGGGCTTAAAGCTGAAACTTGGTGTACTCCTACTCATACCCAAAACCCTTCTGTTACTCCTACGCTTTTTACCCTGGTACAATTGCCATCATACATGTCTCCTATTATATTAATGTACCTTTTCGGGACTCCTTTTCTCATTAATGCCCAATTTAGAACCTCTCTTGGTACTCTATCATACACTTTCTCCAAATCTATAAATACCATATAAAGCTTTTTCTTTTTTTCCCTTAACTTTTCTATTAGTTGCCTCACACAAAATAATGGCTTATAATGGTTGACTTACCAGGCATAAATCCCAACTGTTTTTTAGATACCAATGTCTCATTTCTTATTCTCTTATCTATATATCTCTTATTACCTTCTCCCAAATTTTTATACTATAACTCATAAGCTTTATGCATCTATAATTTCCACACTCCTGCTTGTCTCCTTTACCTTTAAATATCGGCACCAAAATACTATTCCTTCATTTATAGAGTACCAACAGAGGTTTTAAAGTGGGCATTAATGAGAAAAGGAGTCCCGAAAAGGTACATTAATATAATAGAAGACATGTATGATGGCAACTTTACCAGGGTAAAAAGCGTAGGAGGAGTAACAGAAGGTTTTTGGGTAAGAATAGGAGTGCATCAAGGTTCTGCTTTAAGCCCTTACTTATTTTTATAGTGATTGATGAAATTACTAGAGAAATACAAGGAAAGGTACCATGGTGCATGTTGTTTACTGACAATATTTTGTTAATAGTAGACAAAAATTAATCAAAGGCTAGAGGTGTGGAAATCAGTTTTTGAAGGTCAGGGATTAAAAATAAGAGTAAGACAAAGCATATGAAGTACGAGATTAACAAAGGATAACCCAAGGTAGGTGAAATGAAGGAATTAATGACAATAAGCAAGGACGTGATAAGAAAGGTGGAATGTTTTAAGTATTTAGAATGAGTTGAGAAAAATAATGATGGTATTGAAAAGGATGTAAGATATAAGATTAAGTGTAGGTGGATTTTTTTTTACATTCATGTCAGGTGCATAGTATGTATATAATAATAGTACTAATGCTATAAAATAAATCAAAAATATATAATAAAAATAAAATAAAGTAAAGTAAAATGTTAATACACTAAAATAAAATATATGCTCAATATTTGGTAATATGGTTAGGTGTTTTAAAGACGTTATTTGTGGATTTATATTGTTTAGCTCAGATGCGGGACACCTTAATTTCTCGGCTTGTGTCATTTTGGATGTCTTCTGAAGTGCACGTGTGAGAGCAAGCTGTGAATGAGATATGTTGCAATATCTGTTCTTCTCTGCATAGACTTAGGACAGGAATAGGACGTACGAAAGATATCCTAATAAATTGCTAGATAGTGTATACATATTGTGTCTAAGCAGAGAAGTGGAGAGAAGCGTCTGGTGTGTTATGCGATAAGAGATCTCCAATGAGGCTGAATGATAAGTTTTATAAGACTTTAGTGTGACTATGATATATGGTTTATTGTAGGGTAGTTGACAAGAGAAGCAGAGATGAAAATGCTTTGATGGAAGAGTGGAGTTAATAGAGAAGATAGGATAAGGAACAAAATAAGTAATGAATTTAAAGAATTCTAATAACATTTTTTATTTATAAAATCTAGTCAGAAAAATTGAATTTATGTAACAATTTAAATATATTATGTTGCTTATAACAGTATACTTTAATCTATTGAGTATTTTATTTGTATACTTACAAAATTGAATGGACAGTATTATCAGCTAAAATATTAATTTGAAATACACAATGTATAGCTTATGATTACGTTTTATTTGTTAATTTCGAAAAATTTATACACACAAATAAAAAGATTTAACTTTAAAATTCACTAGTCGAGAATAAATTTACCCTTAAAAATATCACTACTTGGCATAAATGGAATTTCTTTTTTTATATATAAATTACACCATGTGTCATTTGTAATTTCTGTAATTTCTTCAATTGTAATTGGCTTTTCTATCTGAAAAAATAATTATTATAAATGGTATCTTTAGTGGTGCCAATTAATAAAAAAAGAACTACATACAGGAAAATTAAAAAGTTTTATTCAAATTTTTAATTAAATTTATTAAGGCAAATCACATAATTACTATAGGTTGTGAAGTTTTGTTCTTTTGCAAATCTACTTAAAATATCATTTATAAAGTTGGTCTCATTAATTAGGGTTCAAAACTTTATGTATGTATAAAATTTGTTCAAACATCTTCTAACACACTCAATTATGTGAAAATTTATCATAGGTTTATAGAATACCAAAGAACATGAACTAGGGGGAGTTATTATAATACCCACCCTTTCTAAAAAGAAATGTTTTATTATGTATATATTGATTAGGGTTAAGAAAAACAAACTTAAATATCTATTTATAATTGATGTACTCAGGTCCTGCATATTATGAAGTACTTATTATTAAATAATTAGATTAAATACATTTAATTTAAATGAAATACACGTCAGATTTTGAAAGATTTGATGTCTAACACATAATTTGAAAATAGTAACTAATTAATATGCTTAATATTAAGTGTAGGAATATCTTTAAGTTTGGGATGTATAATATGTTTACAATCTTAAAATATTGAAAATATACAAATCGCTTATTAATAGCAACTTTAATGAAAATTTACATAGGGAATATGAATTTCTTACATGAATATGACAACTCATAACATTTTTTTCAATTAAAATAATTGTAACTATAATCTTTAAAAGTGTTAAAAATAATATAAAATGTAAGTAAAAGTTAACACAGTAGGTCATTACTTGGATTGCTAAAATATTTTCAATTTCTTCAATAACTGATGGTTTCTTTGACTTTAAATTTTTTTTAATTCTATTTTGATGTACTTGAAATATCAAACATGATATTGTTTCCTGTAAAAATTATAGTTTATATATATATTTATTCTGATTAAGTTTAAAAATATCATACTTTTGCTAAAAACTGAAATATATCACAAGCATAAGTATCATACTTTATACTCCATGGCAATAATTCAAGAACTTTCTTTAGAAAATCTGTATCATGAAATGTTTTTGATTTATATTTCTGATAATACTCTCCTAATCTGATAGAATACAATAATATTAAGTTATAATATAATATACAATTTAAAGGATCTTTATATGTACTCAGGTTCAATTTTTAACATAGCAGCTCCAGTTTTAAGCGCCCAAGAATTATGAGCTTTAACTATTTTTTCATCATATTCTTCAAGATCAACATTCAATTCTTCTAAAACATCAATGATATTGTTATAAATTGTATTTTTTCTGTTGATTAAATATGGATTAATGACTTCTGTTTCATTTTTATAGTCAATATTTGTTGAGCTTTCTGTGTGTATTAAAATATAATTATCACATAAAAATCAATATTAATTTTAGTTTCTCAAATTTATCTTACTTGTAAAATTAAAATTAAAGCCATCATCTTCTAGAGAATTTGCAACATCATTTATTTTTTCAGATTTAAAACAACCACTTTTTTTTTGTTTTTTATGAGCTCTTTCATATTCTACTTGTTCCTCATTATTTACATTTTCCAAGTATATAGAAGTATTCTTATCTCTTTTATGTTCTTAAATTAATCATAATATAAATATATGGTTATGAAATTGATTATATTATTCTTACTATAATACTGCACAATTTTATTCAAAGTATACTTATATTTTCTCAACAAAAATATTATATCTATAGTAGATATCTCATGGCTACCACGAATGCAAGCAATTTCTGCAGATTGTACTAATAACATTGATATTTGCTTAATAAGTACAGATTGAACAGCTTCAATTGTTTGTGGTATGGCCTTGTATTCACCTAACCCATACATAATTTCACCAATATCTAGATGAAATATAAATATTTTTACAATCCATTAGATAAGTTTTATATATTTAAAAAATGTATAAAAAAATAATTTTTACAATACCTTTTTGAAACTCCATTTATATAGCTATTTATATATTTAGTTGTATAATAACTTGCTAAGTACATAGCATTAAGTACGCTAACTAAATATGCAGCGTTTTAATAATAAATTACAAATATAGATAATAAATTTATTATCTAAGTATTTACTAGCTATTATTTAATTTTATGATCTAAAACTATGTAATATATTTAAAAAATTAACAATTTCTGATGATATATCACCTAATATATTATCAGAAATTGTTGATTATTATCAAAGATGAATCCTATATCATAGATTAAATACACATGTGTATTTAATCTCACGCTATATACTAATCTATGCCTATACCTTATTTTAATATAATTCTTATGCATCTCTTAGATAAAGATGCAAAATTACTAGTTATTTATTTTTCGGAAATTCATATAATTTATCGGTAATGTCATTCTTAGGTTGTAATATTAGAAAATACATTTTTCTGTATCTAATCCAATAAAAACAAGAAAATGATTAAATGTATACCTCTAGTTGTAACTAATATTTTTCAAACAAATTTTTCTAACTTATCATTAGAGGCGAAATTATATGCATTTATAAACGTTATTAAGTTGATAATGAAATAATACAAATTTTTATTCATTTTTTGAGCACTTAGAAATATACTGTTATCGAAGTTATAGTATTGAGGAATTAGAGGATTTTGTTCTGAAATTTAAAGTGGATTAAACAAAATTTATTAATTTGTTTAATTCTACTCATTACTTGTTCAGAGATTCTCGCAGATCGCGGATAAGATCCCAATTCGAATTTTCTTGGCATTCTGGTGGGTAAGTATAAGCGTGTTTACATTTTTTCACAAATGCCAATAGAGTGATATGCCCCCTTAGAAAATTTAAAAATAATACTAAATAAAATTGTTGCATTATTTAAAAATTAGTTAATTATAAATAAAAATAATTTAAATTTTCATATGGTTGCATCTTTCCTTATTAATGCAAAGTGGGCCTATTATATATAACAGAAAATGATAAATAGGGGTGTGATAAAGGCGAATTAATGGAAGTAACTTCCCTCTAAGGTTGCTTCATTGGGTCCAAAAAACTTTACTTTAATACAATAGTCAACCTTTTCAAATATTAAAATGTCAATTAGTATGTCTTTATATCCTTAAGCTAAAAGAAATTCCTGGCATTAGTTTTATTCCTTATTAAATTCTTCTTCACATATAAAAGATGTCTGGCTTACTATCAAAAAATTTATAAAATATTATAATCATTCAAAATCATCTTTAAATGAACATTTGTTTCATTCTTTCTATAATATAGTCAAGGGAGTGACTGTATTATACATCCCTTCTAAAAATAAACTCTTTAAATATTGTATTTGTACTTCGAGACTATATTTAGCATAATTTGATTTTTAAAATTTATTTTTTTGCTCAATCCTTTTTATGGAGTAACAGAAATATTTATTGTAGCAAGTTTTAGCTTGCATAACAGTTATTGTGTCCCTTCAGCTGTTGGCCTTGTAATATATTAATATATTATAAAACAATGTAAAAATTCCAGGTACTTTTATAAAATTCCCTAACATTTCAGTTATTCCTTGACTAAACAAATTTCATTGATTTTCCAGATTATTGGGCAACATAATATTACTCATATTACATGTAAGTTATATCAACATCAGATGATGTCCTGATGGAACCTTCAATATATATATATAATTAAAATACATAAAATAAAGAAATAATAGATATCACATTTCTATTTAACATTTTAAATTTAAATTAAAAAAAAAATGTTGCTATAGAACATATTAAAATGTAATACAAATCTTGTATATCACTATATAGTTAGAATACTTAAAAGTATAATACTACTTAGAGTTCACATATTTAGAAAAATATATAATTTGAAAAATCAAAAGCATTTTTAATCAAAAATTAATTCACTCTTAAAAAATTCATCATTTTCCTTTAAAGGAACTGGTAAATAATCAATAGGCTGTTTCCAAATATTTTGTGTAGTTTCTATAATATCTTCAACAGTAATTGGTGGTTTTTTTACCTGAATAAAAAAAGTTTTATGTATATATATATACTAATATGTTTGCATATATTAAAAATTTCCAATTATTAATATTAATTTTCATTATTAGATAATATTAAATTTATTATTTTATTATTGTCATAAACTTTTACAAGGTTTTTAACTGGAACTTATAATAAGAAAAATCATAATGAAACTAATTCTCTGTCTCTATAGTTTACAATTGTGTTTTTTTAAGATTAATTTGAATTGTATGAATATATAGTGCTAAAAATAGTATAGAGTTATAGTTTAGTTTTACACTGTTTCTTTACCACTTTAATCAATTTTTGAACAAAAATAATAAATATATATTACTTGTATATCATTATTAGTCTTTTCTGGATTTGTTATATATTGTTTATTGGTTATTATTTTTTCTTTATTTTGATAGACTCTATCAATTAGAGTCGCAATTGTTTCCTGTAAATATTTATTACTTTGATTATTCAGTTAATTGAAAATGTATTTTAAAATACTTACTTTTGCTAGGTAAAGAAGTATATCCAGCTCTTGAGATTTATACTTGATATTAAAAGGAAGTGCTTCACATACTTTTTCTATAAGCATTTCTCCTTTTTTATTATGAAATATTCTAGTTCTACAAACTTGAAAACATTCATATGCTCTAAAATATTTGTGAAAGAAATAAAATTTAATTATAATATTTTCAGTGTTGAGAAGGAACTAGTTCCAAAAGGAACGGATTCCTGGAACGAGTTCTTTTTGAAGGAACGATGCTAGGAACTGCTTCCTTTTAAAATAAAGGAACGAGGAAAATGAACAAATTCCATTTTTTAAGGAACGTGAACGGAAATTACAGTTCCTAAAAATTTTTATAAACATGTTTTAGTGTAGTTTTCTTCGTATCTAGACATTAAAATATTATGGTATTTTTAGTTGACTTTTGACAATGGAAGTCCCCTATATACCCAGCCGAGATCGTAGGCTGTTTAAATGAATCAATTGACTATAGATAGAGTTATTATCACATGTAGGTATACAGTAAATATTTAATATATGTGTACATATATTAAATAATGCACCGAATATTATCGTCGTTTCTTGTTAACTAATTTATGTTAAAGGTTTTGGGTTTTCTGATTTATTATTTCTAACTTATATGTAGACAATAGACATTGGTCGCGTTGACACAAGTCGTTAGCATTTACTACCTGCTTATAAATATAATTTTCGAATACTTTTAGATAAGGAATACTACAAATTTGTTTTGTATTCGACTGCTGATGAAAATCATTGATGACCGTTATCATGATCTCATTGCCACAATTTTTTAAATAACTTATAAAAGGAACGAAGAGTGGAACGAGTTCTTATTTTGGAGGAACTGGATCTGGAACAAGTTCCTTCTTAATATAAAGAATTAGGATCTGGAACGAGTTCATATTTTAGAAAATGAACGGGGAACGGAACGAATTCCATTTAAAAAGGAACTTTCCCAACACTGAATATTTTATACAAGAAAACTTTTACATACGATGGAGACAATATTAGAGCTAATTCATCAGCTCTAACTTTGCGAGGTTCAGTAGCATTTCGGACATCATTTTCATTTGTTAAATCTACATTTATATTTAATTCTTCAATAGCATTCATAATAGAATTATAAACAGTTGGTTTTTTACTATTACCCTGATTTTTACATGAACTATTTGCAACCCAAGAGCTAATAAGGTCTAAAAAAAAAAAAGTAATAAATAAAATGTTAATGTTAAATTTTAATATTATTATTTTATATACCAAAGCCATTTGTATCATGGAAGTCAAAATCAGAAGTTGCTTCAGCAATTTCTTTGGCACTATCAAATGCTTTTAAATTACTGTTGTCTAATTTAGGTTTTTTGGCTTTACTTTCTTCCAAATTTTCTTCTGTTTTTTCAATATTGGTTACTGCCGTAAATTTATACATGTTTCCTTTTAATACTACAATAGAAAAAAATGATAAAATGTATAGTTATATATATGTTGACATGTAACATTTCAAATTAAATTGCATTATTTTGACGTAATTTAAATTTTAAAAATATATATAGCATTTAATATGATTAATAAATTTAGAGTTGTATATAAAAATAATGAAGTAAATTCTACATATTAGGACTATTCTGAGAAAAATAAGTGCCACAGGTTCCCAGTATATAATATAGTATCACGCAATAATATTTCTTTAGATTTCAAATGGTTACCCTTACCAAGCACAGTTTTGATTAGAAAAAAATAGTTAAAAATTAGCAGTCGAGTACATTTGAAAAATCACGTATATCTGTATGATTTATTTATCATCAACCTATTTAATTAATCAAAAAAACTAATTATATTAGGAATTTTGGTTTTTTTAGATACAAGTGACAATATGCATAACAACTAATTTATTCAATAAAAAAAGGATCTAATTAAGAAAATTCTAATCAAGACTGGTGGATTATAGAAGACTTTTTGATTTTTAATATATTTATTAAAAATTAATAATAATAAATAATATATAAAACAAATTATCTTACAATAATATCTCAACATCCTTATTAGAGTATGCTTATGATTTTTCAGCACAAATATAATATCCTTAACTGATATATTTTCAATTTTTTTTTCATTAGAAACACCATATGCTGCTTTATACACCAACAACGTCATTTGTTTAAATAAAACAGTTTGAATTAAAGCAACAGTATCTTTGCGTTGCTTTCGTTCAGCTAAACCATGCATCATTTCACGAATATCTAAAAATTTAAAAGCACAATGTGCTATTTTCATAAAAGGAAAAAAAATGAATAATCATACATTATAGTAATGAATACAACAACACACCTTGAATTAGGTCTAAATCCATTACTGCTATGGCTTAAATGAAAAATAAGATTCTTATTAGTTACTTATAAATTATTACTATTACTAAGTTGTATATTAAATTATTACTAAGTAATTATTATATAATTACTTATTATAAATTCAATGTTTAATTAGAGTATTAACCATGTAAATAAGAATATAAATAGTTGTGATTATTAGTGTTTTCATACAAAAAAATGTTTAAATTGTTTATGAAAGTGATAATTTAATATCATGCAAAAAAATAATGATAATAAAATTTGAATTGATAATAAAAAAACTTGATAAAGATAGTAACTAGAAACTTTAATGGTACTTATTTAAATTGGGTTATGGAGATTGCCACGAAATGATGATGCCCCGATATTCATTTACTCCGACACTGTAAAAAAATCCTCCGAATACATTTACTCCGACAACAATTACTACGAATACCTGGTTACAAAAATTTGGATTTTACTACGACGATGAATACTCCGAATAGGACTATTAATTGATTGCTCCGAATGAAATTAGCTCCGAATATCGATTATTCGCGAAATCGATTAAAAAATTATCAAATTTCGGAGTAGATGAATATCGTAGCAATATAATAACTGATGGAAAAATATAACCCTTATCACTAATTAATAAATATTAATTAATATAATAAAATAGCGTTATAATTGATTACTGTCTATTAACGAATAATTATTACAATAAAGATCCCCGAAATGTATCCGACTTTTGATAAAATAGGTATATAAAGGTAAGAAAGGGGGGTTTGAACTAAAACAACCCGTTACATAACTGGTGTGAGCCCTTAAATTTTTTTTTTGGAGGGGAAAAAAGAGCGATTCCAATTTTCAGACGTAAATTCTTTTTTATCTCTCCTTATTAGTGCTTATTATAACATTATAAGCACATTAATATTATAACAATTAATTAGTTTAGTTAAAAAATATAGGGGTACGTTTCACTGATGATAGGATTCGTCATTAAACAAATGTGTTTATAAAGATATTCGGTATCCCATTCTCTAAAACTGTCATAACAATTAGTCTCATATGAAATCAAACAAAAATATGATTTAATATCATTTCATTGTTCTAAGGTGGGCAACGAAATTAATTCAGTCCAGTTTGGATTTGACTGCAATCTGGAGAGACTTGAGGGGGCTTTGTTTCCTAAAATTCTGCCATATAATATACCGAAAATGAATTAATTTGTATTTCTTGTTGTATAGAAATATTTTTTAGATTAGGTAAAAAATTATGTATTTAGAGTTCCCAAATATTTTGTTGCAATACTCCTACGCTCTAGTCAAATTAAGTAAACACAAGGCAGTTATAAGTTAACAGTGGACAATAGTTTATGATTAATATAAACTTAATTAAATCTTCTGTTAAGATAATTAGTTTTAAACTTAACTAACTCGATTAAAAATATGCAGTCAATTCATTAAATAATGGTTCAGTTTTTTTTCATTTGCATTATGATTATTTGAAGTTTTGTCAAATATACGTATAGAGTTAAATATTTTAATTTATAATCATAATTGATAATTAAACAATTATTCATTTTTTCTCATTAAATGGAAATCAAATATAATAATGTAATATTGAAACTGTACAACTTTTTTTTATAGGACATATATATATATATATAAAATTACATTTTTACAAAACATAATACATTACATTACGTGATTTTATTTTGAAAATTAATTTTTATTTTTTAGGAATATGCTTTCATATTCTAAAAAGAACATATAAAATGAATTTAAATTTTTAAAAACTTTCATTGTGTATTTATAGAACAATACATTTGTATTTTCAGGATACACGTTAAGCTAACGAGATGAAAACATTGGCAAAATAATCATCTTTTCGCAGTGTCGGCCTGGCTCAGATGGCCCTCACTAAATTTAAGATTTTTTTTCTCGCTGGACCACTGAGAAAATTGTCCAGCAAATTTAATTATTATTAAAAAAAGGAAAGGCTATTCAGATATTTTTTTCAAGGAAATATCAAACTGATTTCAATAAATGTATATAAGATTTTAAAGAAAAAGAACTTTAAATAAATAATTTTTTACTCCTTAATATTTTTAACTTTTCTTTGAGCACCACTGGAGATTATAATGGTTTTACTTATAATTTAACATTGATTATAAAACTCATGTCACAATATTAAAATTGTTTAACGATAAGTTAATATATTTTTACTTTTAGATGACACACAGAATTTTTAAATAAGAAAAAATTAATTCTACTTATATATAACCAAAACTTACTAATTCTTAGCATAACTCATATTAGAACTTGTAGCAAAACTTACACAGTTTAATATTATTTTAATTTTTTTTAATATAAGTTATAAATAATTTTAGTAATTAATTATCAATTAAAATTGCTGAAAGAAAAATTAATCATAATCTACTGAGTCAACACAAACCTATTGGAAGAAACTTCCAGAAAGTAATAAGACTAAAAAAAATGTGTTCAACAATTACTGCATTGAAGTTGGATATACTGTGTTATTTTATACTTAGATATCCTAATGCAGCACAGGAAAAAATCCAGACATCCCCAAGAATGANAAAAAAATTCAGTCATCCCCAAGAATGATGAGGAGCACACGGAAGAAATTTCTTTATTAACCTTGAGGTCCTATTGCACTACATCCAAAATTATTGGATAATAAGATATTTTAACTCTTCCCGAAGACACTTATCTATATTATCAAATTGGACATAGAACACCCAATTTTATATTGTACAAATATTAACAATTTTATGTTTATATTAGTTATTATTTTTTAATATTACACACTTAGGAATTAATCACTAATAAAATTGCACAAGAAAATTTTTACAGCACATATTTGTTATAGAAAAATTAGTTTTCAAATGGATCTCTTAGATGTTAAAAAATAAATTACTGTTAGATAAAATTTTGTGGATCGACTGAAAAAACAGTTAACTAACAGTTTTTTGATTTGATGAAAATATTTTGTAATTAATGGATAATTAAAAAATAAAATTCTCAAATATAAATATATATTCTAACAATAGAGAAAACTTTTTCAAAATTGTACATTTGTATTAAACACTATTAATTTTATGTTACTTAATGAATGACTATTATCATTCAAGTATTAATAATATTTGTCAAATGTGAGAAATTGTACCAAAAAATAATAAGCAAAATGTATATTATTGTATAATAACTATAGTAGCAAATAAATGCTAATTGAATAGAACATTTTAATTTGAATTTTACAATATTATTAATAATAATATAATTAATTTAATAATGTAGTGTTTCTGTAGCCACGTGACCCTGACGTTGCATAATAATTATGCATAATTCGATGCATAATCAAACTATCGATAATGTCGGAGTTTTTACTGTCTCATTTTTTTAATTTAATGTCGGAGTAAAATCTGTCGTAATTTTGGTAACCTGTGGTATCAGATGGTCGGAGTACCAGATGTTCGTAACATTACTACTTTGTCAAATGTCGAAGTATGTAAATGTCGGAGCATTATCAGTTTGTGGCAAAGGTGCTTTCCCATTTAGATTACCATCGATTTAAATAATAAAAATTTATTCATGTATAATGAATATATGTAATGAAAAATAAAAAACTAATTATTTCACGTTCCTCAAGTTTAAAAGAAGGCAGTTTTAGCTTCATTCCTACAAAAATAACTTTAACCAAAATTATAAAAATATTATTGTAATGTGTTAAGCTGTCGAAAAACTAGATAACGACAAAATTAATACTTCAAATAAAATTTAAATAAGTTTTAGCAAAATGAGAACGTATTAACCTAACACTGATTATCTAAAAACTAAGTTTTCAATTTTATTTATTAATGATATATATTTATTTAATACTCATAAATATTTTACATTTTTATGATCGGTAAATAAAAATCTTATAATAATATATTTTAAATATTTATCTAATTTCCATCACTAGTTTTACTTAGTAGACAAAATGTCAAAAGATTTTCTTTTGTTAAATTTATAGTATATTTTAAAAATATTCCACAATTAATATCTTGCGATAAATTAATTTATTAGTTTTGTCATAGTTTATTGTTTCAAGAATTAACACCCGGGCATTTAAAAATATAATTATTAAATATTAAAGGATTTTTAATGGGGCTACGTACTAAAGAAAATTTTTTACTTAGGTTACGATATTTAAAAAAAAATTGTTTTAAATGTATTACTAACACCATTATAACATGTAAGATAGAATAAATTCTAGATAATTTTTTTAGTGACAACCATGTTATTACTCATTACATATAAGTTAAATCACATTTACAAAAACATAAATTAAATAAAAATAAGTAGTTTTAGATCCTTCTATTTCCCAAACTCAAAATACTATAGAGGGCGAAGACCCTATTTTACATGTTAGGGAATCAAAGATGGTTCTCGGCTAATCCCAATGACAAACAAGACGGCTATTGTGGTCGGCTTGCACTGGAGATCAGACACCACCAATGAGAAAATCACAAGAACAATCTCCTTGGTACAGTGGCGTATTTTGAATGATTTCTCGGGTGGTGTCCAACTTTTAATGAACCTCACAAACGAAAATTATAGAAATGTTTACTGACGAAAAAAAACTTATTATTTTTCTAATTACTATTTTAGGAATTGACAAATAATTTGAAATTTTGGTACTGTTGTATCTTAAAAGAAACAACCCTAGTGTCTTAACTTAAAGTAATAAAAGTTTAATAATAACTCAAATGTATTTATTATAGATATAATTAAACAATGCAAAACATACAAAATAAATATACACTAAAAACACAATAAAACAATACACAAAATGAAAACTTAATGTCATAAACGTACTGCTAATTTCTTTGAAGTTGTTTTAAACAAAGTAACTCATAACTAAATACTTTATTTATAATAAGTAAACAAATAATAAAATCTCCTTTCAGTATTGATGTTCGTAAACTACTTGCTTTTGATGATGTTTCAGTGTCATTCCACTTCAAAATTATAAATATCGATTCAATTAGGTACACAAAAAACTCAAGAAAATCATTGACAGCATAAAAACGTTCAACTCATTTAGTCGCACATAATTGATTTAATGATTTTTTAGTTATACATTTTTGACTTTCTTCGATTTGACTTTTCAACACATCTTTTCGCTTTGGGTATATGAAAAAATCTCTAACTTTAGATATTGTTCCTAATCAATTTCGTGTTTCTTGTATAGAAGATGAATAAGAAATAGCAAGGTTTAAAACATGAACAGCACAATGAACAAACGTCGCAAGCGAATAACTTTGGTCAATAAGAGATTTAGCTCCGTTAAATTGACCAGACATAGAAGCACATCCATCATAACACTGTCCTCTAAGGTATTTTGTTTCTACACCAAATGAATGTAAACTTTGAATAATAATACATAAACCTTTTCCAGTAGTATCTGTTGTAGGCAAAAACTGAAGAATTCTTCCTTGATAATCATATTTTCAACATCTAAATATCGAACACACAAAGTTACTTGTTCGCTTCCACTAATGTCGGCCGTTTCATCAGTAAGTATTTTGAAACATCTTTGGGCATTTATGTTTGTTACGATTTTATTTAAAATAATTTTACTACAGGATTCAATTATTTCATTTTGAAGTGTTTCACTTGTATATTTTATTGTTTCTTCAGCTTCCAAAAATGATTTTAAACGGTCATCTCCTTGGGCTCTGTATCTTAATATTTCTCTAAAATTTCCTTGATTTTCTTGGATAATTTGTCATTTTCTTGATATATATTGAAGTTACAAAGATAGCCGTTATTGTCAAAAAAAAAAAAATAATAATAATAACATTAAAAATGCAAATAATAATTAAACCTATAAGGTAGTTAAACCCTAAAGTTATTTTCGATTTGTTAAAGTCGTTAAAATTAATTCAAATCTCCTGTTATTTTCTTTTATCAGAATTATTATGTCATTAATTCAATTATTAATTAAATTGTTAAACTATATTATATATTCAACTTAATAAATTTTTATGTTGATTATAATCGCATGGCATNTTAATAAATTTTCATGTTGATTATAATCGCATGGCATGATGTTTTTTGTTAATAACTAAATGGAAATAGCAATTTCACATGGACAACATTTTTAATAGTTGCAAGAAAATAAATCCAAACGTTGATATTTTATTTCATACAGATTAAATTTTATATGCATAAATATTCTGTTAACCGATATCAAATTTATTCCACTTGAACTTTCATAAAAAAATCTCTATCATTTGTAAACTAATGTAATAAATAAACAAACAAATACAAAAGGTTTTTCTTCAAAATATCTTTAAAAAATATATATATTTTTTTGATAATTCTCTGTATTATTCTTAAAATATTGTATTCTTTGACCAATAATACAATTAAAATAAATAAGTATTGTTTATACTAAATTTATTTATAATTGGCTTATACATTTTTTTAATGAATTTTTACAATTAAGTTTCCTTGACAATTAGATGTAAATGTTGATTTTATCGACATTTCAGTTCACTTCGTTTTTTCCCGTGAAAAATAAACTATCGTCTTGTGTAATTATTAAGATTTATTTAATTAGTTATTGATATGGCAAGTGAAAAAAATATTTTTGGTCAAACAAATGAATCAAGCTTACATAAGGTCATACGCAGAGTTGAAGAAATATGGAATCGTCGTTTCATGCATTCCAATTGTGTTTTAAATAATACAAATAAAGGACAAATATCAAAAAAGTCAACTAAAGATGGAAGAATTATCTGTAAACACTATTAAGATTAATAATTAAACTAACTATTTCGAATAGAGAAAAAGTTTTTTAATATAAAATATAAGAAAAATTAATAATAAGTTCTCTTCTAATATATAACAATAATTCAATCGCTTTACTTTAATTTAACTATTTTAATATTAAAAACCTTTTTCGAAATTGATTATTTAATTAATAATTATTAAAATTATATTCAATTTGCAGCAATTATTAATAAAAATATTTATCCTATAAAAAATTCCATTATTCCAAAAAAACGCACGTATCGAAAAACGAATAAAAATGATAAAATTATTCCAGAAAAATTGGTAACTATAATTATATTAATATATTTATTCGATTTAGCTATGTTATTGGGGTTTGTCTGATTCAAAAATATAAAATAAACTATCAACCCGCTTAATATAAATGCGGTAACATAATGTTTAATATTATTCTGCTATTTTTTCTATTAGATTTTTATGGGAAATTCAATTTTTATCGAAGATAATAATATAATATTAAGTATAGTTTATTTATTTATTTAAATATCTCTTTGGTTACCTAGAATATGATGCAGCAAAGAGAATTCGGAACACTTTTTCAGAATGAAAAATCTGAAAAATATAAAAATGAAATTTTAAATTCAACAGAAAAAAAAAATATAGCAATTTCAAAAGACAATCCGCTATTAATATCAGCTGATTTGTTAGTAAAGGTATATTTTATTAGGCTTTATTTTAATAATAAGATTTTAAGGTATACCCTAAACCATTTTTTGGACTTAAAGCAGATTTCTTAAATAAATTTATCATATAATTAAATATATTTTTATGATCCGTTAAGAGTTTTCATAAGAAAAATTTGGAACGCAAAACATCCGAAATAAAAAAACAACTTTTTGAGATATCTTCTAATACTACTGCTCGACCAAATTTAAAAAGAAATTCATCCGAAGAAGATGAAAAAGTCATAAAAAGTATACAACTTTTAAAGTACAATTCATTTTTAACAAATATGTAATATTTTTAAACATAAATTATTTTAGAGCCAAAAGTTAGTTCTAATCCTTTGACCTTAAATACGCCGAATGACGTAAATTTACTTGCTCTGTCCACTATTGAAGTAATAAAAGTACCAGAGAAAGAAAAAGGTAATTAGTTATTTAATCTATTTATTTCATGTAAAATTAAATAAAAAAAGATTATTTATTAAACATAATTAATTATAATAATACGAGTTAAATTAATATAACTTCTGCAGAGGCGTGTCATTAAGGGGGTCCATGNTCTGCAGAGGTGTGTCATTAAGGGGGTCCATGGACATTTTAAACAAAAGTAATTATACGTGTTTAATTTCATATTCTAAAACCTTAAATAAACCTAAATAATAGTAAACTGTTCAACAAAGTCTTTTAATAATTCTATGAAAAATGTTTAAATGTGGTTACACTTGCAGAAGTAATGCAAGATCAGAACACAAAATCTCTTGATCAGTATAATGCACCTTCATTTAAATCGCCCACATCATGGTATACTTCAGACACAATTAATGAGTACATTAAAATGATAGTAAAACGGTCAGAAGGTGAAGTTTATGCAGTTGTCACTGATTTTATTGTAGCGTATCTTCGAGGAGGTTATCCAGCTGTAAGAAGATGGATAAAAAAAGATATTCACACAATAAAATTACTTTTTGTGCCCATGAATGTATATGAGAGTCATTGGATATTGACAGTGGTTAATATACCTGAAAAGACTGTGACATCATATGATAGTCTTAAGTCGTATAAGGGTCCCTATCCAATGGTATTAAAAAATTTCTTAATTGAATGGGAGATGGACAAAAAAGGAAAAGCTTCTACATGGACATNAAAAAAAGGAAAAGCTTCTACGTGGACATTACAAATAGGCGAGACATCTCGCCAAACCAATGGACATGATTGTGGGCCATTTACTGTTGAGCTAGCAGAAAAAATGTCTCGAGGAGATACAACACCAATAAATGCAAATTTTACGCCTTTTATAAGATTAAGACACAAATATGAAATTATTGCTGGCGAGCTATTCAATTAATATTTTTATGAATGAAATTTTATCTTTGTATTTTATATGAATTTTCTTAATATTCACTATAAATTGAAATTTTTATTTGTATACCACCAAACATTTTTTTACTTTTTCTATGTTTAATTG